TTAGAGATGGCATATATATATAGCACATGGCTATTACTCTTCCATCCCTGGTCCATGGTAGATATTGCCACTGAGCGTGGCCCTCTTTCCTGTTGGGCTCAGATACAATGATCTAGAGAGCCGGATGGGCTTAGTGTGCCAGTTAAACCTACTTGCCATTGTGTGTAGCTCATTTCTGATCAATTCGGGCCCAGGCCGAATCTGCTAGGTTCACTTTACTGTACTTATCATGCAGACCAGAGGACCGGTAGCTATGATGCACACTGACCACAAGGGGGAAGATGCTCAACACACAGGCATGGAAACATGGAACAGACTGATGAATCTCAGAGGGAAGAGGGAGGGGGGAGGGCGGGAAGTGATTAACCAAAGATCTAATATGCATACTAGAGGCCTGGTGCACAGACTCATGCACCAGTGGGGTCCCTTGGCCTGGCCTGCAGGGACTGGGCCAAAACCGGCAGTGTGACATCCTCGAAGGGTCACAGATTGCAAGAGGGTGCAGGCCAGGCCGAGGGACCCCACCGGTGCACAAATCTGTGCACCAGGCCTCTAGTTTTTTAAATAAACAGCTTGGTTTAGGGGTTTTTCTCTGGCTGACATTCTAGTCTACGTCATAGGCTGCTATGCTCTAGGCTCAGTCCCCTTTTAGGTGAGTTGCCCACTGGTCACTACAGGTCATGGCAGGAGACAGATCCTAATCCTGGCAGTTTGCTCCAGAGAAAATATCAGATGAGGAAACCATCTTAGCAAAAGCAGATATATTAGAAAGTCTCTCATTCCCACCACCCACCTCTACCCTTGTAATGACAAATGAGACCAGCTCCACGGTGACACCGCTCCTTTAGCTGGACTCATCACAGCACAGCTGGTTCACAGTATTCAGACTATAGGTTGTTAATATTGGGTACATAGATTCAAGCCCCATAGAAGCATCATAACTCAGGCTGGCAGTTGGATTTGGCTCACTAGTGTTTGTGGTGTGTGGGAGATGTTCATACTATGAAGCCTACGTCAGACTGAGTCCAAGATTTCTCCTGTGAGGTGTTTAATCCATTAGGTAATCATTGCTTCCATTACTCGCGGTCTGCTTCACTTTGTTTCTATTTAATTGGGGCCTGCATTTCCTAAAGAGCCCAGTTTTCCTCTTTGTATGGCAAGATGCTTATATTTTCTTCTAAAGCAACTGACTTCATTCTTTGTCCTAAAGGAGAAAGTAAGACAGAGTCTAATCATATCACACAAACTCTTCTTCAAAAAACCCAAGGGAGGGGAAGGAGAAGAGGAACTACATATTTCACAACATACTTCATGGAGTCAGTTTGTCTTCGTGGATGATCCTCCTCAGAGGCCTTCAGCCTGGAGCCCGCTGTGGTGGATTCACACCTGCTCCGGGGATATCTCGCCCTGACAGCAGGCTTGGATATGGCACAATTTGAGATGATTGCCTATACAGGTTAACATGCTTTCTGCAAAGCCCTAGAATGATTGGGTCCCTGGGGCAACCACTGCTAGTGATGCAGCAGTTATGGGAGTAAGTGTGTGAGGTTGTTAAATGTTGCATTAGAGCTGGGAGCCAGGACATTATGGACCCCCATGGCTTTAGCCCACTGACTGTCCTTTATCTGTTCAGAGTTCCTGGGTTTTGTTTGTTTGTTTTTTACAAAAAACTTTGGAATAAACTCTGCTATGGACTGAAAACTTGCGTTCCCCCAAATTCATATAATGAAGCCCGAGTCCTCAGTGTGACAGCATTTGGAGGAGGGGCTTTAGAAGGTAATTAGGTCACGAGGATGGGGCCCTCAAGAACAGGTTTAGTGCCCTTACAAGAGGAGACACAAGAGACATGATCTCTACCGTATGAGGACACAGCAAGATCGTCATCTGCAAGCCGGGAAGAGGGCTCTCACCAGACATGGGATCTGCCAGCACCTTCACCTTGGACTTCCCAGCCCCCAGAACTGTGAGAAATAAAAATCTGTTGTTTACAAGCCAACAGTCTCTGGTAATTTGTTATAGCTGCCCGAGCTAACTAAGATATTAGTTATACTTGAAGAGAAAGAGCTAAAATCCATGCTAAGGACCACCTGCCAGGGAGAGTGATTTTTTCCATCAATTCCATCTATACAGGGGGTGGCGGGAGGCAATATATGAGAATCCCCCCCAGCAGAATGGGAATGTGTTAAAGTCAGGTTTTTATCTTTAATAAAGACCAAGATAACAGTGAGATTGTTTTTAACGGAGGTAGCTTCATGGAGAAGGCAGAACTTGATGGTTCCTGGGGAAATGAACCTTAAAACCACCCATGTTTCACCAAAAGCTTGTTCATCATTGGGATTTAGCTCAACACTGGGAGGGGAAGCCCAGGTCTAAGTAGTGAGACATCCTATCTGATCCCTGCTGGCTCAGGGGACATACACTGCTCCCAGGACCAGAAGTGGAGGGCGTGCTTTAGCCTCAAGGTCCCCAATATGCATGGAATTGAACTTCATAAAAACTCATGAAGGATTCTAAAATAAATTTTTATTTTTATCAATAATTTTTCCCAATTTAATTGATACAGTCACTATATTTGTGGAGAAAAAAACAATTTACCAATGAAAGATACTATGTCATTCTTACTACCACCTACCCACCCCCATAACTCTCTGTTTGATCATTTGATAGGATGGCTCTATATTAGGGTAACCCACCACCCAGTAATGAGTTATGCCAGAAATAGCCTCCCAGCCTAGGACCTGTGGGCTAAGGATGAGGACATGGCTGGTAAGGGGAGACAGGAATCTGTGGTATTTTAAAAAATGTCTGCAAACAACAAACTAGTATGTTGAAAAACTGACAAAATAATGTCCATTTCCTAATCATCACAGGGTTTTTTCATAGTTAAGATTTTATTAGGAAAGTAGAGGCCCGGTGCATGAAATTTGTGCACGGGAAGGGGGGGAGGATCCCCTCAGCCCAGCCTGCACCCTCTCAATTTGGGACCCCATTGAGGGATGTCCGACTGCCAGTTTAGCCTAAACTGGCAGTCAGACATTCCTCTCACAATCCTGGACTACTGGCTCCTAATCACTCACCTGCCTGCCTGCCTGATTGCCCCTAACTGCCCCGCCACCCCCCTTTCTCGCAGGAGTCACCCCCTAACTGCCCCCCCCCCGCCAGCCTTTTCACCCTCTTACTGCCCCCCCCCCCCCACTGGCCTGGTCGCCCCCAACTGCCCCCACCAGCCTGGTTGCCCCACACAGCCTGCTTGTTCAGTAGTTTGGTCATCACTCACTAACCCCCCTGCAGGCCTGGTTATAAGCAGCCATCTTGTGAGGGTGTGAGGGTTAATTTGTATATTGCCTCTTTATTATATAGGATAGGAATACTCAGAAAGACTGAAAAAAATCACAAAACAGCATGAAGAATTAATTAGGACAAAGCATTGAGAGAAAGCTATAACACACAAGAGCAAATACAATTTCTCTCATGGCATCAATGGTCGATCTTTTGAGACCTCTATATTTTTCAAAGCCACCTATTATTTTCATCATCCTTGAATTTATTTCCCAAGAAATACTTAGGTTTCTTACTTATTGCCTTATATAAAGTCAACAGTACATCTCCTGTGTTCTGTCTTGCCCCCTTTCCCCCAAATGCTGCTTGAAATGTCAGGCCAGGGGATAGGGTGTTTGATGTTCTCTGAGTTACCAGGAGTACATAAATCATAAATGCACATCATTCATGAATTATTCAATTTCTCTTGTGCTTTCTGTAGGCTGGGGTAGGCACTGCGCATGCCGGGCAATGCTAGGCGGCTCCCTGCGCTCCAGGCTGTTGCAAGGTGTGGGTGGGAGCCGCAGGCAGTTCGGGGCGTGGGGTGTCCGCGAAGGTGGAGCAGCCATGGCGGCGGGGGAGAGCATGGCCCAGCAGATAGTCTGGGTGGACCTGGAGATGACGGGATTGGACATTGAGAAGGACCAGATTATTGAGATGGCCTGTCTGATCACCGACTCTGATCTCAACATTTTGGCCGAAGGTCCTAACCTGATTATAAAACAGCCAGATGAGTTACTGGACAGCATGTCAGATTGGTGCAAGGAGCATCACGGGAAGTCCTTCCTCTTGAGTTGAACTTACCCGCCTGGTCCCCCAATATTTCCAAATTATCTCTTGTCTTTTCTCTTTCATTTGTGTGCGGCTCCTCTTCCAGATATTGAACCCTGAACCACACGGGACGTGGAGGGAAACATTTACCGACATCCAGATATTGGTAAATTTTCCATCAATTAAGAGATGGAAAATTAATATATAAATATTATTTGAGATGATTTATCAAAATAAATAAGGCAATAAGTAAGAAACCTTACTTATTTTGATGAGAATCAATTAATTGATGGTAAATATGTAAATGTTTCCCTCCACGTCCTGCGTGGTTCAGGGTTCAATATCTGGAAGAGGAGCCACACACAAATGAAATAGAAAAGACAAGAGATAATTTGGAAATATTGGGGGACCAGGCGGGTAAGTCCAACTCAAGAGGAAGGACTTCCACCCATGGTCAGGCCACACCAACCTTTTATAGTCTGAGGTAAACAATGCAGTGGTTACCATAGTTACAGTTCTTGTGAGTTTCACCTGTTTTGATCATGTTTACACTCCCTGCACTTCCCTCAGCCCATTAGCTTCCCAGGTAAGATCTGGGGAGTGTTATAAGGTCAAGCCTAATTATGCTAAGAGGACTGAGCCCTCTAAGCTGGGACTTGTTTGTGACTTTGCCAGCAGGTCAGTCCGAGGCTCAACCCTATATCAGTTTCCCACATCTCACCCTTTTTTTTTTTATTATTAGCTACTATAATGAAAATAAAACTTAAACATCAAGAACAAAACTCTGGCTATTAAAACAATAACAAAACAATGCCAATCTGTAACCCAAAACATTTTAAAACTTAAACATAACATTTTAAGAACAAAGAATGTTTAAATCCCAATTTCAATGTCCAACAGTAGTCCAAGTTTCAATGTCTGACAGTTCCTTATTTGTACATGTCAGCAATGATATTTCAGTTCTGGATGGTGGACAAATGGTGACAATGCAGGTCCGACCCTCTCTGGTTTGATCCTGGGCAACCTGCAGTGACGCACAGCTGCTGACTGCTAGCATGGCAAAGCGTCGTCAGCATCTTCCATCTCTGGATTGTTTTTCCTCTTGTCTTCATGGCTGGAGCATTCCTAAGAAATCCTCTCTGTTGCAGGAATCCACATGGTCTTGAAGTTGTTTTCTGAAAACATACAAACATATTCTCAACCGAAGGTTAATAAAGGGAATTTTACTTAGGGTCCTTTTTATATTTGCCCAAATGATTTTCCTTTGGCTTATTTTGACACCACGTATGTTTTTCATGGGAGTCTTGCTGTTAGCATTACAAATGAAAAAAAATTTTTCCAGATGTAAATTAGTTACAGGATATTTTTCCTTACATGGTATTTTTCCACTATCCCCACTTTTTTGATTTAATTATTTTGATGCATATAAAAATCGAGTCCAAAGTACTCAAATCTTAGGTAGCTTCAGGTCATTAAAATAGCTGATTGTTCAAGCTTATAGACAGATTTTCTTTAAAAAAACACACACACACCAGTTTCTATAAAAATTCTTATCAGCTGGAAGAAGTATAGCCTGCCCTACACCTACCAATGCCACAGAAGTGATGCATTAGGCCACAGAGAACACAAAGGGCTGAGAGATACAGAGTTCTAATGTCGTGGGATATGTAGTTCAATTTTTAATGTGCATCCTGTTCAGTCTTTGGGCTTGTAGCCAAATTCCATGGCTGTCTCAAAGGATATTTTCTCCTCTTCCACAAACGGAACACAGACTGTTCCCAACTTACTAAGTCCCCAACTTACTAAATTCCAAAGCCTCATTCAGAAGTTGTTTGGATGGAACAAATTAAACACATATTCCTTAAGAGACAAGAAGAGTGATTCTGTCTCCAGGAGAACTCACAGCTTATTAACCCACCAGGTACCAAAAATATAGACATAATAATAACCTATAGCAGCGATTTTCAACCATTGTGCCGCAAACATTTTTAAAGCATGCAGTACCTGACTATTTGGTCAGGGGCACTGACCTCTTTACCCTTAGATTGCCAAATAAAAAAAAAAAATGACAACAGCCAATACAACATTAGCCATCTTGAATGAATCAAAATTATGCCTAATTTTTTAAAAAATATTTTTATTGATTGTAGAGAAGAAGGGAAAGGGAGAGATAGAAACATCAATGAGGACAGAGAATAATTGACTGGATACCTCCTGCACACCCCTCACTGGGGATCGAGCCCACAACCTGGGCATGTGCCCTGATCAAACTAGTGACCTCCTGGTTCATAGGCTGATGCTCAACCACTAAGCCAGGCGGGCCGAGCAATTATGCCTAATTTTTTGTCAGATTGGCAAAATATATTTTTTTGGTGTGCCGCAGAATTTTAGTAAATAGTTTATGTGTGCCATGAGATGAAAAAAGTTGAAAATAGCTGACCTAGAACATGATCAACGAATACATGCATACTTCTATGGACAACCATGTTTGGCATTTCAACTTGGGAGAGGAAGAATAGATCTCTTGTCATGCCTTCTTTGTTCCTGCCCTCCTCAAATGTTATGTCACACAGGTCTAGGGCTCTTCCAGCTAGGCCAAGACCCGAAAGAGTGGAAAAACAGCAAGGAGAGAGTCAGTATATATGGGTGCATCCATATGGAGGGTTGATTCTTAATTCTAAGGGTCTCCGAATTCAAAATTATGTTTCATGCATATTGCATATAAACGTATTTTCTTTTTTTTTTTTTGAGTCAATTGTTGATTTTATTTTTTTTCCAATATGAAAAACGTTTATCCTACCAAGCAAAAAAGACACAAAATGAGTGAAATTCTAACCTGCATTTTTGTTGTTTCACTGTCCATTTGTTAAAGAAAATTGCCAAAATTCATAGATTTGGCAAAACATATGATCAGATATTTAACCAAATATAGAGATAGCAAATGCACATCTGAAAAAAGGCTCACCATAATGCAACTGAACAACAGTGATATAGCATGACAAAGTTACAAACATTCACCTCTCCTCTGACTTGGACATTGCATTATGAGTTATTGATGAAGATAAATGAAACCTATCTCCATTTTGAGAATTATGCACAATCCCTATTAGGCCAGTAATTCTGTAGCAATTATGCTTTCCCCTAAACCCTATTGTCCTACACCCAAGTGACCATCACCCATGGAATTGCAGGCATTAGGACACATGGCCCTTTGCAAGATCTTTGAAAGTTATTCCCTTCAAAAGTATTGGCATACCCTGTGAACACTCTGATGACAACGGAAGTGACTGTTTCTGGCAAAATATTTCCCACATTCCCTGCAATCCTGAGACCTTTCTCGTGTGAACTCTCTGATGATGATGCAAGTGATTGTTGAGGGCAAACAATTTCCCACATTCGCTGCATTCATAAGGCCTTTCTCTGGTGTGAAATCTCTGATGATAAAGGAGGCTATTGCTACAGGTAAACTATTTCCCACATTACCTGCATTGATAAGGCCTTTCTCCAGTGTGAAATCTCTGATGATAACGGAGGCTACTCCTACGGGCAAAAGATTTCCCACACTGACTGCACTCATAAGGTTTTTCGCCAGTGTGACATTTCTGATGATGACTGAGGCTACTCCTGCTGGTAAAAGATTTCCCACACTGACCGCACTCATAAGGTTTTTCACCAGTGTGACATTTCTGATGATCACTCAAGTAATAGCTCCTGACAAAAGATTTCCCACATTCACTGCACTTATAAGGCCTTTCTCCAGTGTGAAGCCTCTGATGGTAAAGGAGGCCATTGCTAGTGGTAAAAGATTTCCCACACTGACTGCACTCATAAGGTTTTTCTCCAGTGTGACAGTTCTGATGATTACTCAAGTGATAGTTCCTGACAAAAGATTTCCCACATTCACTGCACTTATAAGGCCTTTCTTCAGTGTGAAGCCTCTGATGACGATAAAGGCCAGAGAGTCTGGTAAAATATTTTCCACATTCATCACACTCATATGGTTTTTCTCCAGTGTGAACTCTCTGGTGTTGAACGAGGCTTGAACTTTGGCTAAAGGATTTCCCACACTCATCACATTCATATGGCTTTTCTCCAGTGTGAACTCTCTGGTGTTTCAGGAGGACTGCCCTTTGGCTAAAGAATTTCCCACATTCGCCACACTCATGAGACTTTTCTTTAGAATGAACTCGCTGGTGTTGAATAAGGTTGGAGTGTTGTTTAAAGCATTTCCCACATTCACTGCACTCGTATGGTCTTTCTCCTGTGTGCAATTTCTGATGATGACGGAGAACAGAGATATTTGTAAAAGATTTTTCACATTCACGGCACACAAAACACTGTATTCCATTACAGACACCATGGTCCTGAGCAAGCGTCTGGTTGCAGCCAATGGCTTTCTTACTGAAATAAAACTGCTTTGCACATGCCCCGCACCTCAACAGTTTCAGGCTGTGTTGTGTTCCCTGCTGCTCAACCAAGTGGAAAATGTCTCTCAGGACTGGCCCACAACTCTCACAGGGGTGGCTCTTCTGGGAGGACACAGCTCCATTGGGTTTCTTTGCCTGTGACACTCTCACAGAAACATGCTGTTCAGTGGGTGCCTCCACATCCTCTGCTCTGCAGCAGCAACCTAGAGAGGATAGGAGTTCAAAGTTCTCCAGCATCACTTCGAGGAACAGGTGTCTCTGAGCCTCATCAAGGAGGCACCATTCCTTCTGAGAGAAGCGCACAGCAACATCCTCAAAGGTCACACCAACCTCAGCTGGGGGCCTCTGTGGGTTGAACGGGGTGAGAGTAGCAGGAGAGGAGGCAGCCAGGGGCACAGTGGCCCCTGTCCCAGGCCCAGCACTGGTCACCCAGGAGGCTGGTCGGTGGGGACCAGGACTCTTGCGCCTTCTCATTCTGGTATCTCCACCAAGACCCAGTGCTCAGGATGCTCTGACCCACTTAGATGATCCTGAGAGAAGAGGAAATGCCCATCACAAGGAGAACACTGGAAGTCAACTATTGACTTTATTTATTTATTTTTAAAATATATTTTTATTTTTTTCAGAGAGGGGGAGAGAGAGATAAAACATCAATGATGAGAGAAAATAACTGACTGGCTGCCTCCTGCAATACCCCTACTGGGGATTGAGCCCACAACCTAGGCATGTGCTCTTGACGGGAATCGAACCTGGGACCCTTCAGTCCGCAGGCCAATGCTCTTCCACTGAGCCAAACTAGATAGGGCCAACTTTGACTTTAAAAAGGGCAAACAACTGCACTGCAAAGCTTTCTATAAGAACCTCAAAGAATTTGCATGAGCAAGCGTAGCTTAAAAAGAGCCAGTTACCCATGTCCTAAAGTACACTTGTTGCCTGGGTTTTGAAGTAATTTGCTTGAAATAAATAAACTCATGTGTTTGGCCACAGAAACACGAAAGAGTAGCTACTGATTTCAGATGAAAAGGTGTCTGGAGAAGACGGGACTTCTCACAGAGGTAATTAGAGAGACATAAAATAACTTTAAGAGAAACATATTTTCTAGGATAAAAATTTTTAAAACGGATAAAAAAAGAAGCAGTAATAAAAAAGACATTCATAACATTAAAAAAAACAACAACACTAACTATAAGGGAAAACCATCTCAGTAAAAATGAAAATGAAATACATCATATTTAGCTAAAAGTAAAAAATCTGAAATTGATGAGGAGTGCAACAGTGGCCAGAATTGGCAGCTCTCAGGAAGGCCCATGGAGACACATGTCACCACTTCCTCTAGCTCTAGTGCCACATCTGTCATCTGTCAGCTGTCAGAGCACTGGCTCACTCCAACAAGACTTCCCCGAGGCTCAGCAACAGATGAAGAGAAAAAGTTACCATGGCTCTGGAGATAATTTTGTGATGACACAAAGTCCTGTCCTATCTAGGGAAGATAAGGCTCTGTGAGAATTCTTCCTTGTTCCCAATCTCCAGAGCAGAGAGGCCTAGATGAAGCCTAGGGGTCACTTAATTGCAGGGGTTGTTTCCTCAGATACCTTACCACATTTATTGTCAACAGCCTCCTTCTAAATGTAGACTTATTGTCTGCACAAAATGATAGTGCTTAATATGGAAAGTAAAACTCTGGAAATTTAATTTCGAAAAACATACTAATGGATTGGTACACTGGTACACCCATCAGCACATCCTCAACAGGAAGGGAAAGAACTTCACATGTGCACTAGCGCACAGACTACAAACTCCACCTTTAAGAGGGGACTGACTCAACCCAATTTGCCTGGGGCTGCTCTGGCATGCTAGTCTGCCTCCTGGGAAACCTCTCAGCCCTGGGAAATCTCGGACAACTGCCATTGGAGCTGCACAGGTCTCAGTGAGGCCCAGGGAAAGTGACTGGATAGACTGCAGAAAAAAATGTAGGTTCAGGCAGTAACTCGGTTCTCCTGCTCCAGGGGATGGTAATTTCCATTAAACTAAGTGATGACATCATAGAAATCTGAGAATGATGAGGAGAGCCCAGCTGGTGAGAACCAAGCTTCAGGCAGGGAAACTGAGACCTCATCATGCCCAGGATGTGATTTTCTCAGGAGGGAGGTCATCCTGACAGGTGAGAGGGAGCAGAGGCCACTGTTACATATTCCTCTACTCAGGCCTGGATGTATTTCTGAGGCTAAAATCTGAACTATGGACTAGAACTCACCTGAGGAGTGTCTCATGGATCTTCTCGGGGGAAAAGAGCAGCTGGAGCTCAGGAAGCTTGAAGGAAGCACAGACAAAAATATTAACTTGAATACTTCTTCCAAATGTAGATTTATTGTATGCACAAAATGATAGTGCTTATTATGAAAAGTAAAACTCTGGAAATTAAATTTGAAAAAATATTAATGGATTGGTAGACTGGTACACTCATCGGCACATCCAGTTTGTTTCACAAATTCCTCATTTTGGGCCTCAAAGAACTAGGAAAATGTTTTCATTGCATGAAAATGTTGATTTCTTTGTCCTCTTACTCATTGCAGTAATTTCAACTGTATACTTTGTGACATCTTTTTTTTTTAATTTTAATACTAGTGGCCCAGTGCATGAAATTCATGCACATTAAAAGGAATTAATTAGAGGAAATACTTTAATATTGCTATTTGCCCTTTCTCTATAATAGAAGTGTCAGAGATGAAAGAAAATTAGTAAAATGTATATGAAAATCTTCCTCCTGTCAGAGTCTGGGTGTGCCATGGGACCCAGAGTCAAGTCCCCGCCCATCTGCACGCTCCTTGAAATCGCACGAGACCCAGACCCGGCTGGCCTCACCCCCACTGGGCAAGATCCAGACCTGGCTGGCCTCACACCCATCAAGCCCTGCCAGGCAGGGGGCGCAGCCTCAGGTCCCCTGGCCTGGTGCTTGGTAGGGGGCGCAGCCTTAGGTCCCCCGGCCTGGTGCGGGGTGGGAGGGTGCAGCCTCAGGTCCCCCATTAAGCCCCACCAGGTTGGGGGTGCAGCCTCAGGTCGGGGGGCACACCTTGAGGTCCCCTGTCAAGCCCCACAAGGCAGGGGGGTGCGGCCTGAGGTCCCCTGGAAAAATTAGTAGTTCAAAATATATTGTAATCTTTATGTGTAATATGTGTGGTAAAATTTCACCTAGGATATAATATTTTATTGGCCTGATTTAAAAAAGGATTAATTGGTCCAAACCAAATTTTTAATATTAAAACCGGTTTAAATTTAATTAATGTCTTTTAGAATAATTACAAAAAGTGTGTTGATAAATGTTAATCTAAGAAACGCTGGCTGTTTACTTTTTGGTAAATTATTGAAAAATTAAGGTTTCTAAGAATGAAGAATTCTAATACAATTAAAAAAAAAAGGTCTGTACAAATCACTGATGGTGTGACAGAAAGAAAGAATATTGGAATGGAGATGCTTAATGGAAGGCCTGAGGCATGGTTATGCATTTTGAAGGAAAAAGAAGGTGGGTGGTTTCTAAAGGTGGTTATTTCTGAAAATTGTAAAAATATTTTTGAAAGTTGTAAGAATGTCCGTGAAAATTATAAGAAGTTTAAAAAAAAAATGTTAAAAGGAAATTGATTAAATGATATAGGCCAGTAAGCCAGGGAAACTGAAATATTAAAACAGCAGTTTGCAACCATCTAGAAACTCTGTCTTCCCTAAACCAAGGACACTTAAAAGTCAGTGATTTACATTTTGCCTCCCTAAACGAAGGTTAAATAGCTTATGCCAAAGTTCTCAGGAAGACTGATGGGAGAAATCCAATTAGTGTCACTTGCTGTCCACACCCAAGGACAAATGAAGTTAGAAAATAAGCCTTATTTTGGTCAGTTCTTTTCTAGTAAAATAATTATGTTATATTAATCAGGTATTTAATAAAAAGATCATCTTTTAATCATAAGAACTGAAGTTTGCTGGCCTATGTTCCTGTCTAATACACTTTAATATATAATCTTTTGGTAAAATCAAGTTTGACAACCTTCCTAGGGTTTGAATTTTAAGAAAGGTGTTTTGTTTTGTTTTTACCTAGATTTGGCTGTAGGTGATTCCAAAAGGCCCAGGAATGCCTCACGATCTTCCTACAATGGAAATGAGGGACCAATTTCTTAAGAACTGTGTACTGGGTATCTCTTCTACTTTAATCTCTCTCAGGTTAGAAGGCCTCCTGACCCAAGGCCCTCTTGAGTTTCCGGTTTATCACCATCAACCAGAAGACTACGTTTGTTCTAATCAAGATTTGGAAGGGAAGCAAGTTGGAACCCTCCTGAGAAGGACCTTACTTTCTTGCTTACCACAGAGACTGCTGTTTGGACTGCAGAGCGAGGTTGGACCCATCACACACGGGTTAAGGGCGGACATGTCTCAACCTGAACAGCCATACCAGGACATATCCCCTTGAAACTGATGCTAAAAACTGTGAGCTGTCTTAATAACCATCATGTACTGGGTTCTATTTGCTTTAGGAATCTGGCAATTGCAGGGGCTTACAATGTGGGCTGGAGAAATGTGTACAATCTGGATCATGCTTACCCAGTTAAGTTATTGGTTATAGATAACTTGAATGACTTGGATATTTCAGCCTTTAGGTCAAAAGATTGGCTAGGACTAGATTTAGGAGATGTCCATAGGACAAGATCCCCTAGGCCAGTGGTCGGCAAACCGCGGCTCAAGAGCCACATGCGGCTCTTTGGCCCCTTGAGTGTGGCTCTTCCACAAAATACCGACTTCTGTGCATGGGCCACGAAGTTTCAATTGCACTGTATGTGTGCACCCGCACGTGGTATTTTGTGGAAGAGCCACACTCAAGGGGCCAAAGAGCGGCATGTGGCTTGGGATACGCGGTTTGCCGACCACGCAGAGCGATGGTGTCCACTTCGCCCCTTTGATTAGGAGCTACAGTGATGGGATGTCACATCATCCCGTGTCTTATCCAAGGGTCAATCGAACCGCATTGACCAAACAGCAAATTAGTCTCCTAGACACTGCAGAGCAGGAGAGTCAATGGATGTCAGCCGAGTTTGAAGAAAAGAGTTTAAATAAAGAAAAGGGGGGAACTGTGAGAATAAACAAGTCATCTTTTCTGTCAAAGAACAGTGTAGACAGCCGCCATTTTGGGCTGCGTGACTCAGGGGCGCCATCTTGAAACAGCAAAGGCCAACCCCTGCCTTTGAATTAGCCAATTGCAAAAGACTGTGCGCCTGAGCTCCAATCAGGAGCAAGGGACAGGTCACGTGTGTCAGGGGTTATAAATCCTGAGCAGCCCACCTGCTCGGTGTGCGCCTGCTGCTTCCAGACCATGTGTGCGCACCCTTCTAAAAGGAGGTAAAGATGTTTGCCTTGCTGTCTGGCTCCTGAGTATGTTTTATATTCCACCAGGCCCCCTGACTTGGGGGCTCGCCTTATTTCCAACAACACTAAGCATACCTGTCCTCTATAACCTGTGTTTCCGCTGCCAAATCTAAAGCTTTCCGGGATAAGTGGAACACGCTGTACCTACACACCGCTCTCGGCCAAATCCAATGCCCTCATTAGGCTCTCGGTGTTCCTCGAGGCATCGCGGTGGCATGTGACCCAGGGGGCACTCCGCTCGGGCGGAGACTCGCTTCCCTCGGCCTTCAGAACACCTTTCCTCTGTCCTTCCCTTCACTCTCGACTTCTCTTCCTCCCCGTCCCTCGTCGCCCAGTGCCGTCTGGGGTGCTGCCTCCCGCTGCCCCGCCAGACTCACCTGCCGCACTTCCACTTGGCGTCCCGCAAGGAGAGGCGGCGGACGCTCCTCGGGCTCCTCCGGACCGGCTCCCGGGGCTCAGGGTTCGCCCTGAACCTCTGAGGGGCCCGCGGCCGCCCCGCAGACGGTGAAAAGCGGGCGCGCACGGCCAGCGCGCACCAACTCCGCCAGGCGGGCGCGCGCCTCCATTACCTGGGAAGGAACAGGTGGGAACCGGAAGCTCCGTCCTGGAGACCCGCCCTCGTGGGCGGGGCTACCCCGTCCCCCCGGGTGACAGGCAAAGCCCCACCCCGCAGGCCCGGCTGCTTGAGGCGCTCAGCCGGATCCTGGGGCTGTGGAGACCGGAAGGGGAGGCCCCTCGGTGGGGTCACCGCCTCGGGGGCGGTGCTACCCCGTCCTGCCTGGTCAGAGGCCAAGTCCCGAGCCCTGGTCTGTTCAGTGAGTGCTGGTGGCCGGGGGTGTGGTGGTTAGAAATGCTCTTGAAAGGCGCCACGGGAACTTGAAAATCGCTCGGCCAGGCAAGTGTACTTCTTCAAAAGCGTGCAAGGCCGACAGAAACATGTGCCAGCCAGGCCAAAGCCTATAAACGTATTTTCTAGCAAGATAGCCTCTTCCTTTCATTCGATTCTTAAAAGGGTCTCAGACCCTCAGGCTAAAAAAAATATAAACAATGATGGGATGAGACTTCTTATCAGCACATCCACTCAGCATCATTCCTTCATTTTAGCCAGTCTCCCAAAACAGAATAAGTGAAAGGTTCTCCAACTCTCTGGGCTCTGCTACTATCTTATTTTTAAATCAAAGTTCCTTTCCTGTGATGCACTAGAAAACAGGGCCTTCTGTTCTGGAAGCAGTTTTTAAAAGTTCTTGCTGCCTGTGAAACCAAACCTGGAATTGAAAATTTCTTTCCAGTCTCTCTGTCTCTCTCTCAGAACTCAGATAAGACCCACTTCATTTCAGAGGAACATGCTCTCAAGCCTCCGTGCTGTGTGTGTCATGTGGTTTGCTTTTGGAGTGTGTCTGCCTGTCCCGACAGTGAGAACCTGTGTGGTGACCTGAGGTCTGGAGGGTGGGAAAAGGTGGAATGGAGAAAGAAGTCAGTCTAGGTAGCCGGAATCAATGTTGCAGAACTAGAGACTCAAACTGTTCATTCATTCTCTTATTCATTCTGCTTAGTTTCTGAGCATCTATAATATGAGGAGAATTATGCTGGGCTCTGAGGGGTGCTAAAAAGAAAAGATCTGGTCCTCTTCCTAAAGAAACAATGCCGTGGAAAGATAGACATGCAAATGAACAATTACAAATTAAATGCAACTGCCACAGAGTAGGTATATACGTTTAAGCAATGGAAGCAAGAAAATAGAAATACTTAATTCAGTTCAGTTGGGGTGGTGGTTGCAGTGTGAGATTCTAGTCTGAGAGGAGATAAATTGAAGCCAGGAATACGCAAAGGTTTTAGTTCCAGGGCAAGATGCTGGGGTTGACCAGATCACCTTGAGAGCGAACTAAAGAATTATGCTTGGGAGAGTAAGTAGAGTTCATCTCAGATTATTTTATTTGGACTTTTGTGAGAATTATGTTTGCTAATATCAGGAGTGTAAATCAGAGGACTTTAAAAAAAAAAAAGCTAACAATTATTGAGCATCTACTATGTGTATAAGTACCAAACATAGATGTAATCTCACAACAGCCTCCTAAGGCATTACCCTCTGGACTAGTCAGGGTTCTCCAGAGAAACAGAACCAATAGCTCCCCCGTTCTGTGTATAACTTGCATGTGACTTTATTGGCTTACTGGGGAGGTCTCCCCTAATAAACCTGGCATTGTGGAAAGACACAAACGTGCACGAGCTACTCTTTTCAGGGACATTCCCTTGCACACGACAGTCTGATTGGCTGGTGCTGCCAAAAGCCGGTCCATCCTTGCTGCTTGACACAGTTGCTGCAGGGAAGAAACATCCACACAACATATGTTTCAAGGGACCTGGCGTATATGGCATACTGTTCTTAATATGTTTGCTCCCCTTCTTAGCACTATGTGTTCTAAACAGGGCCACCTCCCTGAGAAAGGTTGTTTCCCCAGGTGGGGGTGTTTCCCTGGAGTTAGGGATTAATGGGACTAAGGAAGGGAATAAATCAGTAAAACCCCCTAGTGTTACAGAAATACCGTGTACTACTTATGAAGAACTTAGACTAAGACTGTTGGCAATAAATTTGGGACTTGCTAGGCCCACATCCCCAGGGGTCTACCCACCAGAGAAAGTACCAAAACCTATGAAAATCCGCCGACGCAGGGCAGTCCCAAGGAAGACCACCAGCAAAGCTAAAAGGACATAACCTTTACTTGGGCCACAGAATAGGATAATCTCCTTCAGTTACTTCCTTGTAGCTTAACAGTAGAGCAGTAGAGTAGCGACCTTGGAATGGAGATAACAAACTAGCCCTAACCTTTGGAATAGAATGGATAGGATTAAAATCAACAAAACTAGATAGAGATAAGATTTTTAGCAAAGGTCAGATAAGAAACTATAAACATAAAACAAGGAACTGTAGAAGGTCAAGGGAGGATGCAAAACATACCATGATTTAGAGGCATGCTTATAGAACAGCCGTGGGCAAACTACGGCCCGCGGGCCGGATCCGGCCCGTTTGAAATGAATAAAACTAAAAAAAAAAAAGACCGTACCCTTTTATGTAATGATGTTTACTTTGAATTTATATTAGTTCACACAAACACTCCATCCATGCTTTTGTTCCGGCCCTCCGGTCCAGTTTAAGAACCCATTGTGGCCCTCGAGTCAAAAAGTTTGCCCACCCCTGTTATAGAATCAAGGAGTATAAATACAGCTGTAACAGGACAATAAAAAAGAACCCAACTATGCTGATGACCTGAACGCTGTCTCCATGTCCTTCATTCTTCACCGACGCCGTCCACACCTTTGGGAACCCCTGGACCGCTGGGGCTGGACCCCGGCATGGTGCCTAGGCCATCCTTGGGGTTAAACATTTGAATCTCAACCCTGACTCATCCACTTAGTCACTCTGTTGTCTTACAGATAAATTTCTTAACTCACTTGCCTCAGTTTTTTTCTTAGCGAAATGGCAAGTGAGAATACTACTCAGCTTGCTGATATGATGTGAGGATTAAATGTGTGTAAATTAAGTGCCTGGCATAGAGAAGGTGCTCAAGAAATGGTAGCTATTCACATTATTTAATGAGATCACCCTTGCAAGGCACTTAGTGTTGTGCATAGAGTAGGTGCTCCATAAAGGTGAGGTATCATCACCTCATTATTATTTAGTGGTTATTGACATCCTCTAGCTTAAAAACTCTTCACTGATTAAGAGGTGAAAACAAATGACTTCTATCTACTAACAAATTCTGCAAATCTATGGCAGATATATTTCCATGGCTCCTATTATCAGAAATGGGTAGCAATCAGAGATTCTCTTCAGAAGAAAATATTCTCTTGGGATGTACCTGTGTTTTTCCATTGCTAGTGGAATAATTTCATATGCTTTTGCACACTAAGGCAGAGTTGGCTGTTAGAAGACTCATTGTATATTGTCCATGTTCCAAGAGGGCAGGTTCAGGAAGGGCCTGATTGTGTCCAGATGGTTTGGGCTATTTATATGGAACTATGTCATCAGCATTGAATCAGGAAATTTTCAATTCCTCATCAACCAGGAAAAAAAGAATTCAAATCCTTCTTGGCATAGACTTGTAATTTGCACACCTCAGTCTGGGCCTGTAGAGAGTGCCTGGGAAGGCACATGGGCATTTCTTTAATTATTGTCAGCTGAAGCCAGTGGCGTTGTTGGCAAAGCCAAGTCCTGGAAACACGTTTTGCCAAAAGGCAGGAGTGTTGTCAGCTCGACCTTCAGCCCAGGTGCCAGGGAGTAGGTTTTGTTATTTAAATCCAGCCAAGTACCAGGAATGAATACGACTGGGGCCCACCCAAGAATGCACATAATCTACTTTGTCTTGACTTTTAGTAAAACTTACCTTTTTTTGCTGTATAAAATAAACACGCTGTATTGGCTCTGGGTCTCTGTCTCTGTCCCTGTCCCGGTCAGAGGACAGTGGTCCCACCCGGCCCCAGCTTTTTTCTTCCATCTCTGTGTCTGTCTCTTTCTTTCATTTTCTCAATCCCCAGCCGCCCCTATTCAAGAACCGGATGCGAAGAAGAGAGACATATTTACTTGGGCCCTTCTATAGAAAAGTGGGATGATCTTCCTGGGCCTCCAGCTCACTCCAGGTGACTGGCAATGCCCCCACCCCACCGCTATGGCTCCAGGCACTGTGCCAGCAGCATTTCTGCATTGGCATCTACCTTTCCTGATGGAATGATTCTCTCTTACTTAGGTGTCCTTTTTTTATATATGTAATTGTCCAAAAAAATAAATAAATTATCAAGGATATTCTAATTATTATAAACTCTCACCTTTATTTTCACAACCCAAGTAAGGACCCTAAACAAATTCCCTCCCTTGTGACAGTGTTCAGAATATGCTTCCCCAAAATATGCCATCTTGACATAGAAATTTTTTAAAAAATTTGATTTGAGAGAGAGATCAATTTGTTGTTCCACGTATTTATGCATTCATTGGTTGATTCTTTTATTTGTTTGCTTTTTAACCCTCACCAGAGGAAATGATTTTATTGATTTTTTAGAGAGAGAAGAAGGAAGGTGGAGAGAGAGAAACATTGATGTGAGAGAGAAACATCTATCCATTGTCTCCCGGGACTCTCCCTGACCGGGAATCGAACCTGTCCCTTTTGGCGTACAGTATGACACTCTAAGCAACTGAACTACCCAGCCAGGGCCAACAGATAGAATATCTTTAGCTGAAGGAACTTGAGAAGCGTTATGTGCAGGAAAAACTTTCCTGACTTTCCCCAGAAGCAGGACAGAAAACCTTATGTGAGAAATGCTCTCCCTAAACCTGGAGAAAAGCAGAACACAGACTTTGCTGTTTCCCCAAGATTACTACACTTAACTCATACTTTTTTCATCCTATCACATTTTCCCAAAACTCTCCATTCTTCATTAAACCTAGCATAAAAAACTCAGCTTTGACTACTTATTTGGGTTTTCATTTCCTTATGAAGGTTTCCATGTCATGTAAAAATTAGTTAAATAAATTGATAAACTTTTCTTTTATTAGCCTCCCTTTTGTTATAGGGGACCTAACCAAGAACTTAGAAGGATGCAGAATAAAGATATTTTTTCCTCTTCTACACTTGCTTTCTTCACATTCCCAAGATGCTGACTAATTTATCTTCAACCAACTTATTATCTCCACACTGAACACAATTCCTCATCAAAAA